CGGATACCGCATCGCCGGTCGACAGCGGCAAACGGCCCGTTGCTCGTATCGAGGGCCGTGACTCGTGGGCCGTGACGTCGCAACAAGCCGCAAACCCACCAGCCCGCAACCGTAGCCGACGTCGGAGGAAGGCAAACCGAAACATAAAGCTTCCGCCCAGCGGCTTCCGCTACCGCGGCTTTTCTAACTTCCCGGCTTCCACGCTTCCGTCGTCGCGCGGAGTTGGAGAAAATGTAGGGATGTGGGGGTCTTTGGCTCGTTCTACGTTTTACGGGACAGATGTTTTGCGGTTCGTTTCTACTGTGTCTCTGGTTCTGAACTCGACGGCGCCTCTCATAGTTCAACCAGGCCTGGTCATCCGGGGTCAGCGCAGCGCGGCCGGCTCGCCTCGTCCGATCGCCGGACCGCCGGCGACTTCCAAGTTCAGCGGATAGGCCAAGGATCCGAAGGCGTCTGTCTTTCTGTGAAGCGGTAAGTGAATCTCGTCCCGTTTACCTTCTACTTTTAGATTATATTAGCTGCGCTACAATATAAACATGCGTGCCAAGCGTTCGTAGCAATTTTGAGCTTGCATAATTGTGCTTAATCACGGTTTTTCATTTACCGGAAATGTAAATCGGGCCGATGAACGAGGAGCCATGCTTGGAAACGGTATACGATATTAACTTGTACTGTGGCGGCTTAAAACAAAAAGAAGACAACTGGGTATGGCTGGATGCTAGGCTGGTCCCAATGCAATGGTAAGCACTTAGCGCGACTTTCTGAACGGCATGTGAGCAATATAGCGATCAGCGAAACAAGCGGCGACGACAAGCTACGTGTGCCTGCGACCAGCGACAAAGATTTGTCACTGTCACTGCTTGCGGTTCGCGGTTTTGGGGTTTATAGAGAACGTCCCTCATCGCCTTGGACGTTTGCACCAATCGCTTTCATAAGGTGTGTCTCGTCGCGCGGCTGACTGAGCGACAGCGAGCCCTCGTCGTTGTCGCTTCTATCGTCGCTCGCCAAATCGCTTACATGAAGTATAACGCCTTACACATCTCTGCACCGGTGCAGGAGGAGCATGTAAATTGAACGAAGCTTTTATACACCGCGAGCGTTCTCTTGACCAACTCATACTAGCGATTATGTTCACCCTGTCGATTACATTTATGCAAAACGGGGCTGCTGGTTCATTATATCAAGCAACCATTTATATTTAATTAACACGCGTCACTGACCTAAAAAAAATACAGCTATCCTAGAGTTTATGCTATAGAAATGTATCTATTCGGATAAATTTGTTAATTTTTACTTTTAGTCCCTGCCCCGCCAGATACAACATCTGGCCTAAAGCAGTGTTCCGGATCTCCTTCCAAGACCTCAGGCGGGTCGTCATTCAATCCAGGAGTCGGCGGCGCCTCATGGGTGTGTTGCTGGTGCTTCTTACTGAATGGTGCTACCGTGGGAAAGGTGATCATGCTTGGGGAAGGGAAGTAGGATAAGTATGGCCGCCGTGAGTATAGACCGACACTCGGGCTTGACGTCATGGAGCTGCGGCGGCGCTGCGATCGCGCCGGAGCCGGGGTGTGTGGGTAAAAGCGCGCACGTTTCGCATGGTCGTCATAGCGTTTCAGCATGCCGCGAAGCTGCGTTTCCGTTAATTGCACAGAAATGTACAAGAAAAGCAGTGGAGTGAGTTTCCACAAGTTCCCGGCAGACTCTGAAAGGCATAGAAGGTGGATAATATCCGTCGATAAAAAAAAAATGGTCACCTCGCGCGAACGACCGTTTGTGCGGCAAATACTCAATTTAAGGCAAGTCCGGCTTCCATTTCAATCTCCGTCCCGAGGCTTGCTTATGATCAGGGAAACGGTCGTCTGATCGAGACCACCCGGATTTTGTTCCCATGGTGTTCGTTCACAAAGCATTCGGCTAAGCGCTCGTCGGAGGCTCATTACGCCCGTGCTACCCAGCAGAAAGGGATCGGCGACAAAACGGCACTGCTGTAGGCGTTACCGGAAAAAAAATTAACGAAATAGGTTACGCGTTACTTGCAAATAAAAGGTACGCGTTACTGAGCTATGTTACCTAAAAGTAAAAGGAACGCGTTACCGCTACCGATAAAAAGTAACGCACGTTATTTCTGCGTTGCTTTTTTTAAGTTGTGATTTATCACATTTTACGGTTTTGACGATACAGGTCATATATCAAGAAACATTACGTTCATGCAGAAACTGAACATAATTACTTTATCTCTTTTTCGGGTTTCACCTAAATACTCACGAAAAAAAACGCAAAGAAAAACATGGTTTGACGCCTAAAACACGGAAAAAATTGAAGTGTAATTTTTTTAAGACTTGGGAAGTAGTAACAAGTAATGTAACTACTTTACTTGAAATAATAACGTAGGTACGTTACCATCACTGTGTCGAAAAGGTAACGAGTGGGTTACTAGGTTACTGAAAAAAGTAACGCGTGACCAATAACGCCGTTACTTGTAACCTATTACCGCCAAGACTGCAGAACGGTCAAAGCGTTACTGCTTGTCATGCCTTGTGGTCATGAGACTAGGAAAAATATAATATTTCGACTTGAAGTCGCTGTGTGTATTGAATCAATTAATGAATACACACACTTCCGCACACCCACAGTCTGCTGATCCAGCCGGCAATGCGGAAACCGACTCGAAGTAATCGTAGGCCTCGCCAGACTTCTACGCCTACACCGTGTCCGCCTTCCGCAAAACATGTTTCGAGCGTGTTCCTTATGAAACATGGTGGCCAGCGGCCGAGAACAGGCGAGAGACGAGCGCAGCGAGCCGCGCGCCTTTCAGCCGAATTGAAAGCACACAGGACGCGTTAGTTCTCGTTCGATGTCTTTTATACACAGTAAAGTCTCCAAGCGGCGGACGTAGCTACGTGCAAAGGTACGTACGTGCGTCGTCGGCGGTCGGCGGCATCGGTACACTGTAAAAAAATTTGCACCCTCAAGGGTACTTTTTTTCTGAGGACACCCTTTCTACACCCTTTTGTTTTGTATGTTTTATGAAAATGCGTGTAGCCATCGCCTGAAAGCCCTTAAAACACCCATGCACCTTTTAAAGGTGCGTAGGTGCAAAGGTGTTGAAGATTAGTAGGGTGTATGGGTGCATTTATAGATATATTCGCAGCACCCTATCCTATAGAGCTCATGCAGTTACCACTTATTTTTAAGTGGCAGATTTCAGACTAATCTTTGCATGGACAGGCTCGCGAGCGATGCACACATATAGTACGCGCTTGTTATTAAGCGTATGGCTTGTTAATTAAGAAAAATAAAGAGGGACTCATAAGTGTATCAGCACATGCTTACCGAAATTTCTTCACCTTGCTGCCGCGCATGCTGATTTTTAAGCTCTGTGAACCAAGTGTGACATGCACACACCGGGCGTCTCAGGTAGCATGCAGCAAATTTGAAGAGAACGTCTAAGTACCCTTTAGGTGGATGAAACCAATCGGGTAAGCAGTCGTGCTGAGATGGCGTCACCATTTGTTTTATTGTGGCTAACTAATTATGTAAAAATAATTAGTCAAACTTTTTACTTATTGATAAAAGAGCCCACTTGAGACTTAGAAAGATGTAGAGCAGCATGAGAAACACCAGATTGCGGTGCTTCCCAGCAGAGTGGGCTTTCCGTACTTCAGTTCACAATGGAAGAACGAAACGCCCACGGAAACTGAGAAAACACGTGACCACGCGCTTTCAAATCGTGGCCCACTGGGACGCGCTTCGTGGACGTCCTTTCTTGCCATGTAAACAAAACCATGCAAAGCACACCTTGTTGGAAACATCATAATGTGAGGTTTCTCATACCGCTCTACAACTTTCCATGTCACTCATGAGGTCTTAATGACTCAGTAATTCGATCTAGTTAATTAGTTATCCTCAGTTAAACAATAGTGACGCTATCTCAGCACGACTGCTAACTAGGGCTGGGCAATCGATCGATTAATCTACCTATTAATCGATTAATGCTTTAATTGCAATTAAATTGTTTAACCGGTTAATCGGTATAATTTTGACGAACCAAAATTAAATAAAAATGAAACGTTTTCACTATGCAGACATGAACGAGCACTCCAACATGAAGTGGAAAATTTAGGTGAAGTATTAACTTAAGCTAAACTGTAAGGGGGAGATTTGTAATTTCAGACATGTGCAGAAGGTTACACATTTCCCAGCGACTTCAACGCCGTGCGAGTGTCCGTTTAGCGCAGCAGAGACTACTGTGAGCAATAAAAGGAGGTCGCCCTCCTCGGAGAATATCAGCGAACATTTTTGCCTCATGGAGCTGAAGTAATAATGCGTGAGCGTGAGTGTTTTTTTAACTGTTCTCAACTGTATATCGAAGTTGATTCATAAGTAAAATAATTGCGTCGTTTAACACATATTCAGCAAAAAACGTAGATGCAATTTTTTAATCAATATTATTATGCATAGAAATGAACGAGACCAATTAATCGATTAATAAATCAATTAAAGGGTGGAGATTAATCGGGTTAAAATTTTTAATCGACGCCCAGCACTACTGCTAACAGTTGGTTTCATCCGTGCTTACAATCTGGGATACCCCTATAGGTTTTTGAATTCTATTTGTGAATGCATGCATTCAACTCGCGCTTAGCAAAGCAAGCCACATTTTGTTATTGCAGATCACTCCATTTCCTTTTGCAAATAAGTTTTTTTTCTGTGTGTTGACTAATATGTTGAAAAGCAGACACACTTTCATGTTAATATATAAATTTAAAAGGGGGTGTTCCCTTGAAGAGTACAGTCATGATCTCGCTTACCATGAACATGGGTACGCCCGGCTATATGCTTCCAAGTTCACGCTAAGCGAGATCATGACTGTACATGTCACAAACAACACAACGTTGCAAGGCATGAAGCCAAACTTCAAACTACTTTTATTCATTGCAACAAAAAACACAAGAAAAAGTTCAAATAATGTACACTGAGCAGTTTCTGGGATGTGAAATCTATATCAGAGCATGGCGTACAGAAACAAGGATCTTGGTTCCTAAAACATGAATGGCCAGTGCGTCTGTCTGGTGGCTTGATACATCAGTCAAAATGCTAGTTTCTGAAGTTTTCCTGATCACGTATGCATGAAAATGTTCATCAAATTCTATTGTCTCAAGCTTCTCTACCTGGAGCAAGACATGCCGGCTAACTGAAAAAATACCAGTGACCATGACAAAAGTTGGCTGGTCGGAAGATAAGTCGATCACTTTAACACTGCCAACTGCATGTGCAGTGCCGCCAATATCAGCCGACACCAAAGAAAAGATGTTTTCAGTGCTCATCGCATTTGCACACATGAAATTCTTTACAACGAAAGGAAGATGCTCATACAGTAAGGGCTTGCATCCCCTGGTGGTCATGTTCATATCGCCGGTTTCACAACACTGCAGATACATCTCATAAGCTTGATGACGATTTGCCAAAGTGGACACGATATTCTTGAAGTTTTTAAGCTTTCTGGCTAAGTCCTTAAAGTATTGATGCTTGCCCTCATAGCGCATCGACCAAATCCGAACAAGTGGCCCATACATGAGCATGTGCCTAGGGTAATGAATCAGGAAGTGTAATTTGCAAGGTACACGAACAGCTGGAAACACATCTTTGAAGTCTACGGAGAAGCATGTGATCAGGCGTTCGAGGTATGCAATATACTCTACTGTTACTCGCTTGCTCATGATTATGTCTACTACCTTTCTGAACAAAAGGTACAACTCCCACACATTTTGGCCCCTTGGTATGCACTCCCCCACATAAAAAGGCAAGTACCGAAATAAGCAGTACAGCTGCGAAGCACTCCCTTTGATAGTTCCTTTTTTTGCAAACTATGTTTCGTGTTATCCGCAATTAAATCAGTATTTTGTTTTTACGTTTTCCGCTCTCATTGGCTTCTTCAAGTGCTGTAATGTCTATTAACTGGGAAACTTTGCTATGGTGGATCTCTGCGAAATAAAAGATGCAGCAAGCCGCGGCCGTCGAGCGCGAACAGTCTCTGTCACGCGAGCGTCAATTTCACGCTCACAAGGATCGCTTCATTTTGAAATAAAGATACACACATCCGACTCTTCCGGATATCGAAGATACATGATCGAACGAATCACACTTGAGTTCTTAGGAAAATAAAGATTAGTTGGAAGATTAATTAGTGTATACGCCCAGATCCAACTTTTTTATTTTAGTCTTAACGTAGGTTTTCATAACACAGGCAAACTTGGCACTGCATAAAATTCTTAATAGATAAAATAAGTTTTTATCACTTTTATATCAGAGCAAAATTATTGATGACTTTACTTTTCGTGTGCATGTGAACTTGTGAACAAACGCTTTATGTGAGTCCTGAACAAATTCCATGTCGTCGAACATAAGTGCGCTTGTGTGTGTGCCTGTGTGCGCCCAAACAGAACAGTTCGAACAAATGCGATATTGGCACGCTCGTCGCAGAGCGAGCGCGTACGTGCCGAGTGGTTACCTTGCTCGGCTGTCGAGCGGAGGATCTTGGTTCGATTCAAGGAACTGGAATGTTCTTTTATTTATTCTTTCTGTTTGGCGTTCTCACAAATTTTAGAACATCCTCGTCTGATCGAGTTACGAATGTTCTACGCGCCGAACGTTCTAAGCCGAATGTTCCAGGAACGTACGCGGCTACAAAAGGTGCCCCGCGTGGCAAGCCGGAGTCAGCTTTCGCCCCATGCGCTCGATCCTGCCGTTTCGCCGACATCGACGCCTGCAACGCTAACCTACCCTCTTTTGTTTTGTGCAAAAGTTCACACCATTAAGCGTTCAGTTTATTCAGTTATTCGCCTCCTCACCACTTGTCATTCGTGACAATATGTCCCGCGTGATCGTAACAAGTTGGACGCAAAACTAGTGTTATAGAATCCAAAACTGACGTCCGCGTCTGCACCTGTATCCGCGTGAATATCGAGATCGCCGTGGTACGCCGATGTTGCCAGAATTACGAGATCTCCACGCGTCTTCGAAAACAAGCCGCTTGCATTTTGCGGGGAACGAACGGCACAATTGTACTATACGCTGCACGGCTTTTTCCCAATCACGTATCTCTACACGTCGTCGAAAACGCACCCCTCACTTTTTTTCCAGGCACGACCGAGCACCATTGGCAGAATCCTTCGCACCCACCTTCAACTACGTCCAACAGGGTGTAGTTTCGCTTTGGCCAGCTCGAACACTCAAGGCGACGCCGCGCAGTTGATGAAGCGATACTGTTCTCGCACACGCTCTCCCGTGCACGAAAAACACGAAACAATTACATGCCGATGCCTCGGTTGATTCGTGGACACTTCATTGAATGTCTCACGTGTACGCAAGCTTCTACTGCGCCTTCAGGTAGGGTTACGTCACTTTCGCCAGGGAGGTGAAATAAAACAAGATGCGATGCTTTTTTTCTTGGACCCGTATGCTTCAGAAATACACACAAATCTACCTGACGTCCGGTTTTCGACATACCTTTTGCAATTTTCCGCTGAGAAAAACTTAGAAAATTGCGCTGCTCCTTCCTGCTCGTTCAGATATACACATAAAGATGGTCAACCGAAAGTTGTCTCGGCCCCAGGAAGTTCCGCCATTACCTTGGAATACTCTGTATATCTTTTTGTTTTTCTCCCGGTTTCTGGGTTTGGCGAGGGCGCTGTTTCCCCCGGTTAAGATACGCTCACGGGTATATTGTTCCAAATTCAACTGTTGAAGTGCAACTCGCTTTTACTTACCAGCAGAAATGTGCTGACATCAGTTGTAAGGCGGCCTCAAAGCACGGGTCAAGCTCGCTCGATTTGTGCGATCTCATCTGACGTCTCCCAGCAAATCCTTTGGCGAAGGCCGCGCGGCGTGGAGGGGGGGGGGGGGGGGGGGCGCCGGTAGCGCCGCTGGAGCTCAGTGGCAGAAAAAAAAAGAAGCGAAACCGCAACTAACTCTGGTTATGCTGAACCTGGCCACGTCGTAGTTTCGAATTATTTTTTTTCTGTCTTCTACCGTTTTTACGAACATAGTAATTATTTAGATAAATATGTTTTATATTGTGATGAACTTTTTGTTACATTTTGACCAAATTTAATTTTGTTATTAACGAAGCACGACCTCAAGCAACTTTTACGAAAGTGGCCGGCTGTAGCCGTATTTACATCCGGGTGTCGCATTAGCATCGTGGTTCGCGATTCGAACGTTGCGTGTTGCGTTGGGTCGCAATAAGGACATAGCATCGTGGTTCGCGATTCGAACGTTGCGTTGGGTAGCAATAAGCAACAATTAGCTCATTAGGTAGCCGAAGTTCGGCGCCTTCAGATACCGAAATGTCGGTTACGTGCCTCCTAACAGTGGTCACTAATGGTGCACGTCGTAGGTTGACACTTGAAGAAGCGAACCTACGTGGTATAAAGGCGTCCGCGAGCACCTGCAGTCTCCTGGCTTCAGAGATAAACTTTGAAAGCGACAGATTTGAGGTAATGTGAACATATTTGAAAACAATTCGAACACTGCCCGTGCATACATAGGTTTCTTAATGCTGATTTCTTGTGACCTGTGATAGTGTGTATTTTTGAATGAGTAAAGCTATACGCACTCCGGAGTGCACTTCAGACGAAATGGCTATACGCACTCCGCTAAATTCGAATAAAACGAATGGTCAGAACGAGTTTTCTTATCGGGGGCATAGCATATGTTAAAACGTCCGCTTTCTACGTAATGGGAGGCGGGTTTGATACTCGGTGGGCTTACTTTTTTTTTTTTTTTCTTTTTTTCTCGAACATTTTGTTTTGTCGAGGCATTCGACGATATTTACGACATTCTTTTTCGCGATGAGCACTAAAACAACCGAATGTTGTCGACGAAACTTTTCCAGAGGTGCGATCGGGGACAGCGGGGCTTGGGTTGCCGGCTGGACGCCGCGAAGCTGCGTGTACTGGTTAAGTTTTGTAATTAGTAGCCGATACTGTCGCCGCGAAGCGGCGTGAACGCAGGCGGTGGGCTGTGTTAACGAGCTCCCCAGTGATACACGCGCCGTTCGAAAAGGTTGGCCCGAGGGGCATGAGCTCTCGGCTTAGTGCGTATAGCCATTTCGTCCGAAGCGCACTCCGGAGTGCGTATAGCTTTACTCTTTTTTAATTTCTATAACGTATTGTCGCCAATGGCTTGGACCCGATTCCCGTCCTGTGTCGTCATCTGTACGAGCCGTGGGTAAAGCAACTTCTTGTCAGCCAAGAAAGGCAGTTTTGATGGTGCGAAATTATGCTTGTGAGAGCTAGCTGCAGGTGTTCGACACCAGTGACCACATCCATTGCCGCCAGTGAATACGTCCTATACGTAAGGAAAAAATCAATCTCAACATTGAATTAATCAAGACCTAAGTGACCTATGTTGAGATTGCGATCACTGGCTTGTGCAGGAATTTGTGAATCTTGCCTGCTCTCGTTCTGTTGCTGCTATATCTAGTCGTTCACACGCGTTGTGAACGCTTCACGTCAGTGCGTTCCCTCCCGCATGCAATGAGGCATACGAAATGATGCTCCAAGTTTGACGTTTTAATTTGCAATGATCAGTGGCGAATCACAACAACTTGTGGTATGCTGGAGCTTCGCCAAGTTGCCTTTGTAATCCGGCTTGCAAAACGTGTGGTGCTCTCTTAATATCATTACTAAAACCCGGAGATCGGGAAAATTGAAGGACAGCACAACAGAAAACCTTACCGGGGTTTTGCAGTAATTATGGTTAACCTTCACCTGCTGGTTTGCGCACTAACTTTTTGTGCTCTCTTAATTTTCCATGCGAAATAAAGGGATGACTGCGACGATACTCCGGAGATTAGTGACAGCATCATTGGACATTTTCAGCTATTACCAGAGCTAACACAGTTTCGAATAGACTGTTGTGGCTCTTTGCTAACGCTGCAATTCTAAGTCTACTGTTTACGTTTTGGACAGGTGCTCGACAAAGATTTTAACAAGTATGTTGACATACTTGACGAGGACAAAATTCATGACATGGCCCTTCTTCGTGCCGTGAAGACAGCACATGGCGGTGAAACTCCAAGTGGAGAGGGCAGTGCCACATCTTGCAACATTACAATGTGTATTATACTTTCACTTAACCTTTCCAACCTAATTGAATCCTGTAAAAGTAAGGACATTCACTTGTGCCTTCTTATTACTAGCTGCTGTGACATTCATTCTAAAGAAACATCTCTACTTTACTCCACTTGTCCATTGTATCAATGAGAAATTAGTTTGCCCGTTTCCCCTTGCAAAATGAGTGAGACAGAATCAATAACCCAGTGCATTCCTCTTTTCTACACTTGTTATGTTTTGGTGAAAAGTGTTATTGGAGCTGATGAGCAGATTTTTCTAAATGTATTTTCATGGTAACAAGAAACTAAATATATTTATTTTTTGTTTATAACTTTGAAGAACCTGTATAATCGTCAAATTGTCCTCGTACGCCTGGTAAATTGTGTTTTTCTTGTTAATTCACGTATTTGCAGGGAAGCTCAGTTGATGAAAACACTCCAGGAACTAGCCAGGAGCGGCATTTCAAAATGACACCAAGGTATGCTCAACGGCCTGCACTTATCACGCCCTTGGCGACGCAATTGAGATACAATGGCTTTCCAGAGAATATCGTCCCTATAAACGACGGCACCTCGTTTCGGAGCGTCAAAATTAATCTCACATACTCCCACTCCCCTCTGTATAACCTCTTGCCCTGAAGGTAATCGAAATAAATAGACTGTCCCTTTTTTTAACCCTTTCGTATTCAGTCATGGTGACGACGATGGGGCAGGATTTGTACTTCCGGACTTCGACTTTCTTAAAGCAGCTGCAGCAGGAGGCAAGCCACTCGGCTCCTATGTCACAACGAGAATTGTCGACGTTTTGTTCCAAGAAATGTCAACGCATACATTGTGAGTAAGCTTGCATCAAGTCGTATACCTCTGAAGCTGTCGCTACCTGTTAAGGCCAGTGCTGCAATGACAGCCAAATATGATTTTTGCAGGTACCCATCCAGAGCGTTTTACCAAAATGTGGGGCGGGCACTCGTATCTCAATACCCACAGCTGGCAGATACCTGTGGAAGTGGCCATGTAAGTGCCTTGTTGAGATGCATTTTCTGTTTAGTCTATTCTCCATAGTAGTACAAGCTCCTAATGGGCAGCTTTTTTGTTTATGACTAAAATATGATTTTTTAGTCATAAACATGTTCCTTTGTTTGTGCTGGAAGAGTGCAATATTTCCTTAAAATTTGCTGCAAATTAAAACTTTTACCTGTTTAGGGAAGGGGCGTAATGTAACAAAATCTTAGTCAAAATAAAAAAGGAACTGCAGAAAAATATCAAACTGTTGCTGTACATGTTGCGTTTTGTTTTTTTGCATCAACAATAGTGCAATTTTTCTGCATTGTTTGCAAACACGTGTGTTTGAAAACATGGGATTAGAGTTGTGCTCTCTGAGGAGTGCTTGCCCTGTTTTTAACTTTGTGACAGGTTGAAATAAACTGTTTTGCACTTTGGTGCTATACACAAGTAGGGGAAAAAGAAAAAAAAGGGAAACGCATCCTGCATGCTGGTTTTCTTGACTGACAGCGTTGGAACATAACCAACTATTTGACGAAAGTCACAGGTCAGAGTTAAATATAGCTTTGAGGGTAGAAAGGGAAAACCATTTGTATCGCAGAGCCACCACTGAACTGTAGTTATTGAGTTATCTGATATTTCAGGATTCTTGGGTCATGTTTATAAGGCAGAAGTTCAAAAATTAAAGGAGGAAACTGTCAACCGATCGTGTAATGAGCAGCAGAGAAAAGTATGGCAGTACCGCAAAGAAACCAAGAACTTCCAGTGGAACCACGACAGAAGAGCTGCAGCGTGGCAGCATTGGACAAACTTTGGTTAGTGCTTTAGATTACAGTTGTGTGATAGTTTTTTCTTTAGTTTCACTAAACACAACCTTATTTTCTACGCAGGCACAAAGTTCGACTTCTTGTGGAGAAGATGCGAGTAGTCTTGCGCAGCATGAGGCATGGCTTTGCCAAGAGTGGAAGAAACCAAATCCTGACAATCAGCAAATGCGCTGCAGACTGGAACTGACGCATCAGGCCAGAGTGGAACAATTAAGCAGACTGTCGGTTGCTGTGGCCGTCACCAAGTATCCGTACTTACGAGACGACGATTTGGTAAGTGCTTTATAATAACCTCAGTAGTATATTTGTGAGTTTTATTTGTCAAAGTTCAGATTCGGCACATGCCAAACATAAAATAAGGAAAAAAAAGATTTGACAAGAATTTAGCAGAATCGAAGTATGTATCTATGTCCTTACGTTGTGAATACACATTGTCAGGTGTCTGCTGAATCGTTTTCGAATCAACATCATTCAAATATTACTAGAAAATTGTTTTATTCATTTAGAAATACGTTTTGTTACCTTTTCTATCAAGACTGGTTTTTCTGCGCTGCTGTCACAGCTGAGACCTACTCTAAACAAATATATAAGCCCACAGGTATTATCTTCGTCCCCCTGCAAGTTTACCCTACAAGTTTGTTTCAGTTATAGCTATCCACGACGGCCAGCTCTGCATGCGAATACTGTATTTGAAGTGTGTTTCTATCTTTTTTAATTCTGCAAGCTTTTTGTTTTCTAAAATATTTCAGTTTTTCCACGACTTTAATATGCTACTCAAGAAAGATGGAGCTGCAGCTGTGGTGGAAGGGATGCAAATTGTCCTGAGCCTAGCCCTCGGGGATCGCTTGGGAGCCAAAAGAAAGGACACGATGCCTGTCCTGGAGGCTGACAATGCGACAGCTTGTGCAAGGCGCAAGAAACGTATGTTCATCAAGACTTGTTAAAAATTCAGTGCGGCCATGTTATGTCGATAGTGTTTGCTGTAGCCTACTAAGAATTCCATTCTGCTTTGTGCAAGTTTAGAGTCACCAGAGTGCACATTAGTGTTCTATGATACAACAGTGACCCAAGACATTCTTGGTATGCAGTGTATTCACTGAAACCGATCAGCACAGAAGCGTCATTACCATTGTAAGGTTCTCTGAGCAATTGAGTTAGTGAACTTATCCACCTCGAGATGAAACCACACTGCCACTAAAAGACAGAAATGGTAACTGCTTTCTTTTACTTTTTCGCTGATTGTTGTGGAATAAGATGCATTCAAAATCAGTTGTTCAGCTTATCCGAATAGAGGCTCAGCGAGCTTTTACAGCAGACGGAGGTGTAATAGCTGAGGAAGCTGATGTTTATAATTGGAAATGCACGTGGTGGACATTTGATTCGATAATGCTGTGATTTACTGAAGAATTTCATATTTCCCACTAGAATTACTTCAAACTACAATATTCAACAGAATACTTAGAATTCTGTGGCGAATAGTTTTAAAAAGCCGTATGGTGACCTTGTATTGTCCACGCTTTGATGGTAGCGCGACGGTAACGCCGCCTCCTTGTGTATCTCGGCGAATTGCCTTTATAAAGATTTCCAAATTTGCCGAGCAGTCGTTTTTATACTTACAGTGCTCTAAATCTTGCTTTAATATTGCAGCTTATAATGCAACAGGTCTGAATTTGCTACCAATATTTGTCTGAGAGGAACCAGCTTGTTTTAGGCAAAATATTTACAAGATACGCCTTGCATGGGGGGGGGGGGGGGTAGGAGTAAACAAGGGATGGCCGGAAACGAGATGAGGATGAGAAAAAGCGTTAGGTAAAGAAAAGACTAGTCTTACTTTCCAGTCTTTTTGGTTCTTAAACAGCACAAAGTTTATATTGAGAGAAAAATTAAGGAGTATGTGATGTGTTCATATTGCAGATATCCGGGCTGTACGAACCTTGCAACTCCTGGCGAAACTTGTTCATCAACCAAGAGCAATGGAAGCAATGTTTGTGCCTCTGGTAAGTTTATGCAACATAGGGCTATCCTGAAAGCTTGAAATTGAAATGCAGATATACCATCCTGTCATAACTGTGTGTTACATTAGCTTAACAACAGATAACGTTTTCTAACAGGTCCGTCTCTCACGTGGATAAGACAACAATTGTTGCGGCGATTAGGTCAAGCAGCACTGCACATATCCTGTTGCTTAAATTCTTCGCCTTCTTTGCTGTACCAGATGTATAGCAAAAGTTTAAACGGGGCTTGAGTAAAAAAAAACAAGAGGAAACTCTTTTCCACAAAAATGTTCTATAAATCACAAAGAGCCGAAAATTCGAGCTAAATATGTGACTGAAAGTACAATCAAAATCTCGCTTTGCGTGAACATTGAGGTACATGACTGGGTACTTTCGCGTTTAAAGAAAGCATATTACGACTGTACATGATCGTTTGATAAGCACTAGGTGCCTAATTTTTTTTTCTGGGGTGGGAAAGCCCAAGTCAATGTATTACATTCAAGCCCATACAAAAATGTCCTATGGTCGGCTATAGAAAATTCTTTGTATGGTCGGCTTTAGCTATTTGGCCCAATTAGCTAAAGAATTTTCTATGGCTGTCTTTAGCATTTTTTATGGTCGAATTTATGGGCCTTTTTAGCTTTGTCTATGGCCCTATCGCTGTCCAGCCATAGCGCTCTTTAGCTTTTCTAATGGTTGGATAAGGACTTCTCTGTGACTTTCCCTATGGCTCTCTTTAGCCAGCA